CTCCTCACAGCAGGGGGAAGACTCAACCAGAGGACCTCCGTGGTCCTTTCAGCTGTGTGTCTATCACCCGATCATCTCTCCATGGGATGGCCTCCACCTCCACATTACAGCTTCATCCCTGAAAAGCCAGGTCCTTCCCTTTTCTCCAAATATGCCCAATCTTTGATAAAAAAAGGTTTTGTGCTTGTTTCATGCCCATTCACTTCACCTCCAAGTGGACCAGCCTCTCCTCACTCTGAGGGCCAACTCGGTCGTGAGGTTCAGTTTAAATCTGTCCCTTCTGTCAGGTCCTAAATTAGTACTCTACCATCCTATATAAGAACTCAGTGCATTTGCTGATTGCTTATTACATTTCTTATTCTGACTAACGGCACTAACTTTGACTGTCTTCAAAATTAAAAATGATCTTCTCGGCCCAGCCTCTGTGGCACAGAAATAATGCCAGGGCCTTGCAGTGCTGGGAGCATATGTGATGGTTCAGATCCCAAGCTGGCCTGAAAAACATGCTGGGTGCCTAGCCTCTCTCTCTTTCTCTGCTGCATATGCACATTCCATCATAAGAAGAAAACTTTCCCTTACATCGGAAATGATGCAACCTTTATCTTCATAGGTCTGATATGCACATTGGTACAAGTATTCCATCCTTTCGGTTAGCTAGATGGTTGGCTACATTGACTTTTTGAGTGAGGCACATCAGGATCTAAGCTTAGGAGACAGTACAAACCAATATCAGTATTTTTCCCTCTAGTCAAGCTGACACATGTCTGATACTACAGGATCTAACAGTTGATGAAGCTTAAGGTGTATGTCATGTTATAAAATACCTAATAATTGATCTTAAGTTGCTAAAAAATAAAAACAAGGAGAGTATGTCAACATTAGAATTTTGTTCAAAAAATCTTATATGTTAGAATAGATTGGGGTTAGCAGAAGGCGTAAGTGGTTAAGGTGCTGGACTCCCATATAATAGACCACAGTTTCAGTCCTGGACCTGGTAGTTTAAAACTGACACTGGGTGCATATGTGTGCATGCCCCAAATCCCAAGCGTAGAATGGAGGAGAAGGGATTGTTGCATGGCCATCCACCTCTGGGAGGTGAATTATCACTTTCTATCTCTCTGTCTCTGTCTCTCTAGTAAGCACATAGGCCCTATATCAAAAATTTATCAGGGGGACCAGCAGTTAGTGTAATGGCTATGTCGCTGGACTCCCACGTAGTCGACCATTGTTCGCGTCCCGGACCTGGTGGCTTAAACTCACACTGGGCGTGTGTGCGTGCGTGCCCAAGATCCCAAGAGGAGAATGGAGGAGAAGGGATTGCAGCATGGCCATCCCCTCTGGGGGGTGATTTCTCGCTTTCCATCTCTCTGTCTCTCTCTGTCTGTCAGGCAAGCGCATGTGCTCTATAGCAAAAACCTATCAAAAAAAAAATCAAAAAAAAAAAAAGAACAGAGTGTTTTTCCTTTTTCTTAAATCAAACTCTATTTACAAAGTGTTTTAAATTTCCTGACATCTCATTTCTTCTTCTAAATCTAATCTATCCTTATTTCCAAGTGATACCTAATGAGATTACTTTATCTGTTATTATCTGGGTACCAGGAAGAGGGACATAAAGTAGACATTTGGATATAGAAGAAATCCTAATTGAACAAAGCTACCAGAATAAATCATCTCTATAGAACATAAATATCCTTTTTCTTCTTCAGAAAAGCCTGTAAGATGCATTAAGAATATACCTTACAGGTCCAAATTCTTGCAATGAGGAATTATAATATGATAAGAGAGTGTATCAAGGTGAAAAAGCAGTAGACTGTATCCCCGTAGACGGCCATGGCGCTAAGCCATGAGGTTATCATATTATAACATGGAGAGCAGTCAGACACCCTGCCACCAAGCATCCTGAGCTCCCTTGGGTGTTGTTTTCACCCGTGACTTACGAGATTTTCCAGTTGGGAGCTTCATCGTCAGTGTGTAAACTGAAACTGCTCCAGAGGCAACAGGGGGAGAAGCAGCTCTGGTGGCATTTGAGCTGAAGAGACTCAGGCCCAGAAACCAATCTGGTGGCGGTGTAAGAAATGAATGGAACCAGAGGAGCAGGACACAGCAGGGTAAGACAGGACAAAGAAGAGAAGGTGATCAGAAATGATATGGCGGGATGGAAAACAAGGGTGCAAAAAGAAAGCCGAAAAGTGAAGGTAGTGTAGGAAGCAGAGAAAGAGGAGAGGAGGAGGAGGAAGAGAAAAAAAAAGTAAACAATCTTTGGGTATATGAAAAGTAACATGTACCATATGCCTGTACTTCTGATTGCTATTTTTATAAATCACAGATGCCATCCAATGACCAAATACAGAATCAGAATCCAGGCACAAATGCATGAACCAGAAAAGTTAGAATATAATTGATATAATACACTGTTTACACACAAAAACAAAAATCTTAGCTTCAGGTCAATAAGTGGTATGAAAGTTCTGCCATGTGCAATTTTTTTTTTTTGAGAGGTTTTTGCTATAGGGCATGTGTGCTCACCAGACAGACAGAGAGACAGAGAGACAGAAAGCGAGAAATCCCCCCCCAGGGGGGATGGTCACGCCGCAATCCCTTCTCCTCCATTCTCCTTTCGGGATCTTGGGCACACACGCACACAGGCTCGGCGTGAGTTTTAAGCCACAGGGTCCGGGACTTGAACCATGGTCGACTACATGGGAGTCCAGCAACAGCCGTTACGCTAACAACTGGTGCCTGCCATATACATTTTTAAGCAACTAGAAACCATGAAGCAAAGTCAAAGGAAACTCTAATGTTTCATTCCTGAGCTTGAAACTGTCGAAACACAAAACAGAAGAATGTGATGTTGGTTTCTTAGTTGGACATCTTCGAGCACACCTGCCAACCAGAAATACCATACAATTCCTGTTTTTCTGGAGCATGCCCATCATTTCTATGTTCATGCTTTTGGTCTGTCTTTCTGATTTCAAGTTAACTACAACTGGATCTCCCTTGTGCCAATCGCAAAGCAAATCAGGCTGGCTTCTGATATCTCTGAATCTCAGCTTCCAGAGTCCAGGATCACAGCCCTCCTTGGACCTGCAAGGTTTCCCATATTTTCCTCATTCATCTGCTCTAATGCAAGCAATGTGCTTTCAATGAAGTCTTCAATAATGAAAAAGAACAGATATGGGGGCCAGCAGGTGGTGGGGTTGTTAAGGTGCTGGACTATGTGGCTGACTGTGGTTCAAATCTCGAGCCCAACAGCTTGAAACTCATGCCGGGTACATGTGCATGCATGCTCAAAATCCAGAGAGAAGAATGGAGGAGAAGGGACTGTGGTGTGGCCATCTCCCCTGGGGAATGATTTCTTGCTTTCTGTCTCTCTGTCTTTCCATTGATCATACATGCCTTCTAGCAAAAATCTCTTAAAAAAAAAAAAAGAATAGCTATAATGAATTATTAATCACAAAAATGAATCCATGTTAAAGTGGTAACTGCCCAACATAAGATACTTTGTAAGTAAGAAATGACAGGAAGATCAAATTAAAATGTACTTGTAAATTAAGCTCTTTCCATATAATTAAACTAGTGAGAATTTCTATTTGAGTAGCAAGGTTGTTAAGGAATTCTACAGGCAAAACTGGCCTTTCTTTAATTTCCAAATCAGCCCACTTATTCCCCTGCCCGCATGTAAAGTTGAAGCAGACAGCAGGTTATATAACCCTTGGCTTACTGCAAATACCATGAAGTGAACTGAAACACTGCTCTTCCTTATTATCGGATCAATTCATCCTAAACCCATGAACATTTCTGACATCTTTAAACAAGCAAAATCTGAATGGTTTATTAGAAGTATCACATTCAAACATCAAAGCATTCAGTAGAACTGAACTTCACTGTAGAGATTTTTTTATTTTCCATGACTGAAACCCAAGTCAAAGGGGTAGGAGGTAAGTAAAAGGCAACCAAATAAAAAAGACCTGAAAGCCACATAGTCACTAACTACAAGCTGACAGACGGACTCTCCTAAAATGATCCACTACCTATGGTGATCATAAATACTAAGAGAAAAACGCCCCCTAGCTGGATCACGCCTGAAATCAATGAGATAAAATTATCAAGTTACAAAGAATCAGCAGCTTTGGGAATTGGGGCCTTACTAATAAGATTTTGTATTTAACTCATGAACTAGGACCAGAAACCTTTATGAACATGTTCTAGATAGATGATTATCTCCATCTTAGATGATTATCTCTGTCTAGACAGGTAGGAGTTTAGATCTAATCTATAATATATTCTAAGTTCAGTGCATGGCAAATTACAGACGCTCAAAAATATTTATCATGAATGAATGATTGCAGGTACAAGGGAATGAACAACCTCAGCATTATTATACCCATTACAGACATAGGTTGTCAGCACCAACCCTCCCTTAGCATGGCAATATTTCAGCCAGGAAAGATTGTGAAAGGATTAAATATTAGGTTGACAAGTTAGCAAATCTAAGTAAAGCATCGCTACTTGAAAGCATCTTGCTGATAAAAATGACTCCAGCTACTTGAAAGCATCTTGCTGATAAAAATGAGTGTGGCAGCATTCTGTACCTAAGACTAAGAACACACCCCACTGAGAACACACCTGCATATCACTGGAAGAAGAAACAGTACAGAGGGTATGAAGAGCAACAAGAAGCTCTTAGATCCTCAGATCTCAGAAACAGAACATTAACACCCAACAGGTTTCAGAAACTTAGCTGCCTATGACGCTATCTGGTGGCATCATCTGACAACACAATTTTCTCATTTTCTGTACCAAGTGAAGGTTTGGTATTTCCAGGACGCTATAGCTTTAGGTAGATTCCATGGACTCCTAAGAAACTTTCACTTAGCATCACTGGAATGAAAGAGCTAATGCAGCCAGATACACTGACACCCCGCCCAGTACCAGCAAGAGGAAGGGCCCTGCTGTCCCAGCACATCCGACTAAGGGGCCTCGGGCCTGGAGGAACTTACCGCAGTGCAGAATGTCTGCTAGAGCGGGAGACGCTGTTGCCCACCGGTGAGGGCAGGTTGCTCCCTCTGTGCAGGTCCTCGATGGACCTACTCCAGGGCTTTGACTTGTCCACCGAACTCTCCACCGTGCTCTCCACGCTTTCAAAGTCAAAACTGAAACAACAACAACAAATGCCACTGGAGACTTAAAAATGCACAGTCACGCATATGCACAGAGGTATGCAACTTGCTGCTCTTTTTTTTTTTTCCACCATTTTTATTCTTTCCAAGTTTTATTACAAAAAAAAAAAAAGGGAGGGTCTGTGTGGGGGACATGAAGAGGTCCATGACGGTTACTGTCATCCTTATAATGAAGTGCTCAGGTGGACGGGAGGGACAGGGACCCAATTCAGCATGTGTGTCTATTTCCCCACTGCTTGCTGCTCCTATAATACATCTGCACCTTCGTATGGGAAGTCTTTGTACACAAAGGAAACTAAAAAAGGAAGCACAAGAGAACTTCTATGGGCTTACGTGAGCTTCCAAAATACTGAGTGACAAACACTGTGCCTGGCCAAAGAATAATGGAAAAACAAAAGGGAACCATGATGTGCTATTTCTATTTTACTATCAGGCTTGCTAGCTTACCCTTCGCTAACATCGGTAACGATGGAAGGGGGAAATGATCTTACAGCTGGCTTCATTTTGCTTTCACAGTCAATATGTTAAGCTTTCACTAATTTATTCCTACCCATCAATTTTCACTGAGCATTTTCTCCTCATGTGTTGGCAAGTGCACTTTTCCAACCATATGTGAAACATTACTAGCAAACTTATGAATTTGCTTTGATTTTGGAATCTCTTCCCAATGTGGTGATCTTTGAAGTAAGACTTGTTTCTCTGACTTTTCTTGAGGTTATTACTCATGTTAACCATGTTGGAATAAGTGGCAAGTTAAGTTGCTTCATTCTCGTATAGTTTTGGGTATGTTTTTAAACAGATAGGCCTTTGTGTTCTGCATATATTTTCTTTCCTCCCAAAATCAGTAATTCTGCTTTCTCAAAAAATATTTTTTTTATTAATTGTTTCTACCCATAGTTCCAAGAAACACCTGACTAGATAGCAGAACAAATTGTAGGCAGTTATCATTAACATCCAGAGGAAGATTTTAGAGGATGCTACAGAATAAAAAACAATAGTACATATTGGAAATAAAAATATGATTTTTTATGGCTCTTTACAAAAATATGACTGCCAAAACAGAATATTTACTTAGACACTCAACTGGTAACTACTCACACTCTCTACCTAGTAGAGACTATTCAGACAACAGAAACTGAGGCATGAAGTCATCCAAGATAATGGGTAATTTTCATGAAATAACCCAAACAAGGTTAAATTGGCTGATTTATTTTCCTGCTCTGCCTCATATTTTTCCCCATCAATACTGTCCAATCACAGACGATTTTGTCATGCCTTTGGAAGCGTGAAGGAATGAGGGAAGAAAAGAGGCGAGGCAGGATAGGGTATTCTAGTAAAATCTTAAGTACTAAAACTAGAAGACGACAAATGAGATGGGAGAAAGCACACCAAGATCACTCATGCAGTCATACCCTCCTAGGCCACCCTGCCTGTGGCCTGTGTCCTTAGGCCACTCATCACCCGTCAGCCCCTCTCAGCTCATCTCACTTTCACACAGCAGAGGGAGACACGCCTCGGTGAGCGCTTCTAGTCTGGGATGGGCATGAGCCTGCTGCCTTCCCCTCCATGTGCTAGCTAATCATCACATGCCAAGGAATAGCAAGTGTTTTCAGCCCATCAGTTTTGAGAAAGAAGGCAAATTATGTCTCTACATGTAATTTATTATAAAATTAAAGCTAAGCAAAATCACAACTAATAAGCAAAGAGTGTAAATGCCAAAAACAACAAAGCCCAGTGGTCAAGGTTACACAGCAAAGGCTGTGTACTATTTGTTGACTCTAGTCTTTTGCTGTGTACTACAAGAATTCCTTCAAAGTAGCAAAATCATTTCCCAATGGCCCTAGGTTAGGACACAGCCAGGAAAGCTGGTTTCCAAGTTCAATTATCATAAATGTAAAGGATCCATTTCAGCAAACATAGTATATAGCATGCTATTCTTCTCCACCTTTCCTGATGTTTCTTAGTCCTCTTTTAATTCCATAAGTATTACAGCAGATTTAAAAACATGCAACAGGGTGATATTGTTTTGTTTTGTTATATAATATGAAGCATAAAGAAGATGAGCAGTTTTTTTTGTTGTTTTGTTTTTTGTTTTTTTTTTTAAGTATAGAGACAGATAGAAACATCCTTGGGGAGAGCACACTATAAAAGTTAGGCTTAAGGTCAGCAGGTGGTATAGTGGTTAAGGTGCTAGACTCCCACATGGCTGACCACAGTTCAAGTCCCAGACCTAGTGGCTTGAAACTCATGCCAGGTGCATGCCCAAAATCCCAAGAAAAGAATAAAGGAGAAGGGACTGAGGCATGGTCATCACCCCTGAGGGGGTGATTTCTCCCTTTTCCTCTCTCTGTCTCTCTGGTAAGTGTACACCTTATAGCAAAAATCTCTTTAAAAAAAAAAAAAAACAAGCATAAAACAACTAGGCTTATATTTCACAGGACAATTTCTCAGGCAGGTAAAAAGCTGTCTGTTAGCTCTTGTTCATCTAATCCACCTAATAAAGTGAGAATTGTCAAAACTGAAACCCACCAATCCAGTTCTGGTTCTAGTTCAGTCTCTGCATTTGTACAGTAGGAATGATCATTGTTTTCTCCTTGCAAATTCTCAGAGAAATGATAGGGATTCTACAACAACACGTGGCTAAGTCTTAGGACTCTTTTGAAGTGAGGCAATATAAAAAGCAAGGAGAATAGGAGAGGGATAAAACAAAACACCACCTGGGCTGAAACAACTTCCAGCAAAATTAAAAACACATATTATTGCTCTAATCTGTGTGTATGAGAGACTATCTATAGATGGAATGTCTTCTAATGAAAGGAGAAAACATGGAGAAGAGAGTCTCAAAGGTACACTTCCCAGTCCTTTGGTCAATCATTTCATAAGCAAGAAAATAGGTGAATTTTATGGAATAACCAATACAAGATGAATTTTTTTTTTCCTGCTCTGCCTCATTGTTTTTTTTCCTCCATCTGTGGGCAGGAAACCAAAACAATACAAAGATTCATAAAGTAAAAAGGCCTCTGGTTTACCCCTCCCCCCAGTGCCTCTACATTTAATAACTATTTCTACAATTATTTTCTGTATATTTACTATCACATGCAAATATACTCATATACCTCTTTGAGTAACTGCTAATACTCTACCGTCTATCTGTAACTTGATTACCTCTCAGTTCTTTGGCTAAGAAACAGTGTCGTGGATATGACATAAATTCTAAAGAAAGTACTTGTTTTGAAAGTGAAGGCGTCTCTGCAGTTGATTCTTACTTACCTATTTTAGTTCTGCCTTAATGGCCTTTCTAATACCAATTATGTGATTTGTTTTTAGTTACTCAAACAGGAACAAACCTTCTAAACCCTGCCACATCTGCTCTGGGTTCCTCCCTTCCGTGTGGTGTATAATTTTGCCATGGAGTTTAGCTTCTGTGACCACATAAAACCCAAATGCAAGCAAGCCAAATCGTACTCACGTTACAGCGTACTGCGCAAAGGACAGATACTCCACGAGAACATCAAGACCTTTGTTCTCTTCATTCAAAAACTCTCTGACCCATCTGTTCAAAAAGAGAAAAGAAAAAATCATTGGAGAGGATGATTCCATGATCTGCCATGGAAAAGACACAGTGGAAAGTTATTCTTCAACCAGAAAAGTTCAGTGCCTAAAAGGAAATACAGAGTAAAACCCAGACTATTCCACGGGAACAAGGGCACTTAGACATGGTAACTGAAAACACCCCAATATCTCAGGGTTTGAGAATAAGGTCCAGAAAGAGCATGTGCACCATCCTTGCTTAGGAGATGTGTGATAACCTAGGAGAAGCTTTCTTTTCAAAGGAAACTGCTAAATACAGTTTTCCAACACCACTGATCCAGGCTCCTTGGTAAAAGAACCAAGACTTCCCAGGGAGTGAGGCATGCATCCTGGAGACATGACAGCGTAACCACTGACATTCAGGCATGATTCCAAATCCATGATCAACTCCTTCTTGGCACGGGGAACTGCAGAAACCACTAAACTTCCCAATGAGAACCCAGTGTTTACGGCTTCTGGAAATTCAATAGGGATAATGATTTGCTTAGCTTTTTCCATGAATGTTGAAACTTTCTTAAATGCTTCAGGCACTGCATACTATCATCAAGGCCAACGCATGACAGATAAGTCACTTAGAAACCCATTTTTAAATATAACCTTGCATGTGAATGGTGCTCAACAGTTCACTAAGAATGTGTGCACATTTTTGTTGGCTCTTCATAATAACTCCGAGCGACAGAGCAGGCAAAAGGCATCTTGACGTACTGAAGATAAACACCTGTTCACCCCATTTTATACATTTCTTCTAGCATATTCATATTTCAAGACTGTGTGGTACCTTACTAAACTTTCACTGAGTTTGTAACTCCAGCAAGTAATACAGAGAAGGGTCAGTTACCATCACTTCAATGACTCTTAATGTACCTCTGCCAACTGCATTTCAAAATAGTTGCTTTCTTCCATAAACTCCAAGACAAAAAGGTTGACCAGCTAAGGATACAAAAGGTACTAGACAGCCAGTTTTGCTAGCTAGTAACACAATAGTAGGACAACCTACCACGTGTCCTTAAGGATCAGCAACCCTTCAGATCTTTGTCTTAAAGAAAGAAAACACCCAGTGGACTTGGTTTTTTGTTTCTGTTTGTTTGTTTGGTTGGTTGGTTTTTGCATGATATCCCCAAGTTCATTGTTTCTTCAGGTCCTGTCCTCTCTAAGATGTAGACTCAGATGTACCTGCCATTTCAGGAGGTAGCAAGGTGGGGAATGTAGACAGCTGCCCAGGATTTTCCCCCAGAGTGCCTCAGGTGGACTGCCACAGAACATGCACACTTAATGTAGCTATAAATGTGCACTTAGCACAGCTGGTCTAAGTATGAAACACATCATTTAAAAGACCTCTACAGGGACCGGCAGATGGTGTAATGGTTATATCGCTGGACTCCCACATAGTCAACTGTGGTTCAAGTCCCAGACCCTACGGCTTAAAACTCATGCTGGGTACATGTGTGTGGATGCCCAAAATCCAGAGAGGAGAATGGAGGAGAAGGAACTACAGCATGGCCATCCCTCCTTGGGAGTGATTTCTTACTTTCTGTGTCTCTGTCTCTCTCTGTCTCTCTGGCGAGGGCATATGCCCTATGGTAAAAATTTCTCAATCAATAAATCCAAGAGCTCTACAGGGGCCAGCAGGTGGCATGATGGTTGGGGCAATGAACTCCCACATGGCCGATTGCAGTTAGAGCAACGGATCTGGTGGCTTGCTTTCTCACTCCCACCCACCTTTGATAAAAAAAAAAAAAAAATCATTTATATTCATTTATTTAAAAAGAGCCTTGCATGGCCAGCTTGGCAATAAAGCAGCAGTATACTGCTCAGGCAATGTTGTATCCCTATGTAAGATTGTGGGTTCGGTTCTCTGGTCAAACTGTAAAAGTCGGATGGGCACCTACTTGTGGTTCTGGCTGCCTGGGAAGGCTACAGTTGGAGGGATCCCAGCAGGAGACCCTGTTGGGAGTACTTATCTTTCTTTCTCTCTCTCTCTCTCTCTCTCAGTAAATAAACAAATAAAACTAAACAAACAGCTAGGTAAGTAAAATAAAATAGCCCTAGAGTGGCAACAATAGCCATTAATGGATACATTAGGTCTCAAAAAAAGGTTTTGTTGTGTGATCTAAAAAGAACTAACAAGGTTGGCTGTGGTCAAGGCTGAAGTTCATTCTAAAACAATTACCTGACCTCAAAGCATCTGCTTCTGGATATTTCTCTCAACTCCCAAATGGGGTAAAGTGAAATGAGCACCTTTCAGAAAGTCTGTGACCTTGCACTGAGATGAAATGCAATTTCCCATTATTATATGCAGTTTTACTACAATAAATGACCTACAGGAAAGAGCCTTCACCTCTGTTCCCAGAATAAAGTCTGCCCACCTACACAGCTCACCCTCACCAGCGCCCAAGTCTTAGCACCCTACCAGCCAAAGCACCAGGACACCTGCCTGCTCTCTCTGCACAGCCAGTGCATTCCAACAACCGGTTCATTTCAAGGGTATTTCAAGTAATATCAAGGGCTTGGATAAATCGTAATCCAATTCTTCTCTATTATTATAGTTTCTAAGAATAAGTAAATGGGATTATTCCTAGTCCAATTCTTATTTCAATTTGCCTCAAAGAAAATTAATTTTCTTTCTCAGAAGATTACTCCATCTCTAGAATTTTAAGCTTATATCAAAAGCTAGAACAAACCCTTGACAAAGCTGCAGCTCTGAGTGTTATCTCTGCAGGGCCTGAGACCCTAACCTTGAAACGCATGCATGTGCCAAGAACAATAGTTGATTTTAAATGTGATTCCTCCTTCTAATTTCTGGGAATCACAATCCCCTAGGTGCCAGGATCATTTTAGAGAGAGAAAATAACTCCCTGTATGAAATTCCTTAGCAACATTACACATAACACTGGTGAATTGTTAAATATGGTTCGCAACAAGCTTAAAAATAAACAGCTATTATAGGTTGTGTAACTACTATGTACCAGACCCTATATTAGGCATTTTGTAAGTCATGTTGTTTAATCCTTACAACATTCTGATGAAGCATTAGTATCCTTATTTTATAGAAGAATAATTAACTTAAGACACATGGCATGTGCAAAAACTTACACAACTTCACTAAAAGGGGGCATGACAAAAATCTGAATCAAGAGTTCTCTTTTGAGAAGTATTTCATGATGGGTGAAGTCTTTTTACAAGCAAAATGAGAAATAGTGATTGACTGTTTAAAAAATAATTAGAATAATAATAATAATGATTGGGAAAAACATTGAAAAGATATTGAATGATGAAGTGGGAGATTAATGTCTCTGTATTGACTGACATGCATGGCATTCCCTTTTGAAAAAGCAATGTAACACATTGTAAAGTTATATGCAATTCAATATAATATAAACAAGATTATGATGCTAATAAAAAATAAATATTTTTTTAAAAAAAGAGTTCTCTTTCCACAAGGAAAATGGGTACCCAATTATCTCTCTCTTACAGTGCTCTGAAGAGTACAATCGGGTCAGCCAATAGCATAGTGATTAAGGTGGCTAGATCCCACAAGGCTGACTCCTCAGTTCAAGTCCCAGACTTGGTGGCTTGAAAAGCATGCCAGGCATGTGTGCACGTATGCACAGAGTCCTAAAAGCAGAGAGAAATGGAGGAGAAGGGATTGTAGCATGGCTATTCCCCATGGACAGTATTTTCTAACTTTCCTTCTCTCTTTCTCCCTCTTTAGCAAGTGCACACACCCTCTAGCAAACTTTTAAAAAGAGTAGAATAAAATCTATGAATCTCTTATATAACGCCTTACATTCCTCATTGTAATAATTAATTCTTCTCATCATTATTGAGTAATTCTTCAATGGATTCCCCAGTCAAATAAGTTTGACTACGGTAATTTATGTAATGATGAGCCCAGTTCAGGTCTGAATTTTCAAGACAGGAAAGGTAAGTCAAAATCTTGGTGTGTGGTTCCTCCCTATCAGTTCATTGTAGTAACTGTCTGCATACAACCAGGAGATTTATCTCTGGGAATTTTCCTGCTGTAAAAACCAAAGCTTTCAGAGTATTTCACATAGGTGGTGGGCAAGGGAAAACTTCAGCTGGTGAAGATGAAAGAAATATAAGAATCTTTGAGCATGCCTATAGTATCCTGAACAATAAACCACTCCAATTGCTTGCAGATTTCACTGGCTTCAGCCCAAATGGGGCTCTTCTATGCAGTCAACTCTGTATTGGAAAAGATCATGTTGCTTTGGTATTTGATGGTCAATTTCACATTATTTCAGCAAACCTTAAAGAAATGCTTTCTGGCAATTTGGAGAAATCTTGGATGCAGTTCATTCCGCCATTTTCGATCAAGAAGTGCTAGGACTGGACCATACCAAATGGAGTCTGGTTCTTGACCAGAAATAGTGGAAGATATTTTTGATTCTTAAAAATGCAAATTGGATGGCCAACTGTACTAAACAAACACCACCTTTATCCCCAAAAGACAAGCCTCATTGCTTTGATCTCTGACCCCCGAATTTCTGACTTCCTTTCAGGGAATAAGCTGCCAGAATAAGCTATATGGGAAGAAGAACAGAGCATTTTGAGCTAAAGCACCTGGCTCCACAGCTGTCTGCTTTGTGCAACGCATTCACCTTCTCCAGTCTTTAATTCTTTTAGTCTGTAAAATGAGATGTTAGGCAATCCTTCATGTTTCTTCCCATTCTAAAATTATGATTCTATGATTCCTTTTTCAATAGCCCATTTTTCTGGGACAAATGCTAGAGTCATTTCCTTTTCTAAATACTTCATTCTCAAGGCAACAAACTTCTCAGGTCATCCTACAGGAAATGAATATTCTCACCTCATCTCAGTCACCTATAAACCACACCAGTATTTCTGCAATTTATAAAAGTTTCTTCTGAGATATCTGTGCTGATTAACCATTTCAATGGATTATTCCAGCCACAGTCTGAAGTAGAAGTAAACTTATTTATGTAATATAGCTATGTCAAAGAATAATACTCTCTTAAAGTATAATGTAGTATACATACAAAATTTCATTTCCAATAAGCAGGCCAAAAAATGTCATGGGGGAAATTCTAAAAGATCTGAAAGTCTATCATTCTCTCAACGTAAAGCTCAGAGAATCAAAATCCGGAAGGGCTAAGTGAGTTGCCCGATGTTAAGTATCTTAGGGCAAAACCAAGGATACAAAACAGGATACCTGGCATCATTCTGGCTTGGAGATAAACCATCTTTATTTTAAGGTCCTGTACAATGTTGTCATTCCTAGAGCAAGGGAGAATGCAATGCAGTTGAACTTACCTGCTTGAGGCAAAGCAACCAGTTTATATGAAACTCTCAAAAATGCTTAGTACAGAGATCCCCTGAACTTTATTTTCCCAGGGTGGATTTACACCTCATAGTCCTGAGATTTTGAGATTCACTTAAGGGAAAAAAAAAAAGACTCAAACAACACATTTGAGCGCAATGCGGTGGGTCAGGTGATATCATCCAGCTTCTGTCACTTTGTGGCAGAAACTAGAGGGAATTGGTCAAAGGGGAATGAAGCCATCAGTTAACCAGCTTGGAGGACTACAGTGAAGGCTTACAGATTTTCCAGGATCAAAGTGCATCTACTATTAAGGGTTCCTGATGCGCACGCAGAGAACCAAGCCCTTCTTGGGAATTGCTCATATTTACTGCACCCAAAGAAATAGAGTTCTTTAAATATCTCAAATCAAGGACTACCCGCCCTGCTTCTATGGATTCTTACGAGCAATGCAAGTGCTAACAAAGGTTCCACTCAGTAAACCTCAGCCTTTTAACTTAGAAAAACAATAAGCAAGCTCAATTCTTTGAATATGATTCGATCATTCTGTAAAATATGCAAAAGCCTTGGAGCTAAGATGTAAGAGGCATACTTACCCAATGTGGTTGGTCCTTAAAGAAATTTCCAGTTCTCTTAGCATTTGTGTAGATTCTTGAACACGCCGTCTGAATTTCTATAATTCAAGAGCAAATGTTCTCACAAAAAATATTTCAGCAACTGCTGTAATTGCAGCTTACTTATAAAATTTAACACACCGTGAAGAGTGTCTTCCCTTCTAACGTGGACTTCTTCTATATTTCATTTCTTATGCAAAACATACAATTAACTTAAGGACTGAATACAACTCACTTATTTCACATACTAAGTAGATACACTATTGTACCCCTACCCAACATACACAACAATTCAGCAATAAGTATGATCAGAGACCCTAAGACCACCACCAGCTTCAGTGACTCACTAGGAGGATTCACTGGTATCAGCATTTAGTCATACTCATGGCTATGCTGTATTAGAGCAAAAGAATGCAAAACAAAATTCTGAAAGAGAAAAGGTACACAGAATTAAGTGCAGGATAAATCAGGTAGAAGCTTCTAGGAGTCCTCTTTCTGAGGAGTCACAAATGACAATATGCATAAACCTCACTAAAGACTCGGGATTCAGGGTATTTTTTTGGTGTAGTCTGTGTCCGTGTGTGTGTGTGTGTGTGTGTGTGTGTGCGTGTGTGTGTGTGTAAGCATGATGTTTTTGAGACAAGGGTCATGTGTCACAACCATCCTGCATCAGTCTTCAGAACAGAGAGGTCTACAGGCATTTCCATGATGCCTAGCCCTTCCAAATAGGGTCTCGTATTGCCCACACTGGCCATGAGCTCAACTGCAACCCTCCTGTCTCAGCCTCCCAAGGAGCTGGATTAGAGGCATGCACCACCCTGTCTGGCTTTTTTTTAGGGTGGTCCAGAAATCAAACCTGGGCCTTGCGTGTATCCTCGGTTTGCCTAACAGCAGCATCCAGAATGCACTTCGGCAGCTGGGCCTCCAGGGCTTTTACTGGCAGTTGGTCTCATAGGTACTCTGCCTAGCATATTCCAAAATTCCAGACTCCCAGAAAGAAAACAGGTACTCAGCATAAACCATGTTTTCATCAACAGGCACAGTGAGTCCTACTTACCAGGGAACAGTGGCAACTCTCCAAGATACGAGCTCCCGGATGCCAAGCAAAGGCCATCTTGCAAGCAGGCCTCTCTAAGGACAGCAGTCCCAGGCCCGCTATGTTAGTTATTTCCTGCACAACCTAGTTATGTATGGAAAGCAAACTTTCATCGTTCTCTCTGCTCCTCAGTGTTCCCTTAAAAGGTCTCTGCCTGGAGTGCTCCCTTCCCCTGACAGGCACTGCCCTTCTTCACTCTCTTGCCTATCAAAACCACCTATCTTTGCCTTGGATTTTCATTCTTCGATGAATCCTTCTTTGACAGAAAATGTACACATCTTTCTATCCTCTATACTAAGTAATAGAGGATACTCTATTACTTATGTGTCAGTTCATTGGAACATATTTCCCTAAGAAAACATTTATTTACTGACCACAGTCTCAGGTCTCTCTGGAAGTCAGAAATGTGGTGTGCAACACCTTCTGTGAAGAGTTCAAGGCTATCTGTGCACAACTACCATAGAAACAGACTCACCCAGGTCTAAGCCTCTGATAATGGGGCCCATGGCTTGGGAGAAAGGCGTGCAAGGAGAGGACTGGAAATGAGGATTCCAATGGGGGAGGGCATGTAACAGGCATGGGACCGGCTGGCACAGGTGCAAGACCTGGCGGCACAGACATGGGACGTGGTGGCCCAGCGCAGGCCTGGAGCACTGCTCAGCATAGGCAGGCTCCTGACACCCTCTTCCCTTCTGAGAGTCCTTTGCTTTTCCACCAACTGCTTCTTAGGAGGCCCTGAGGAAGCAGAAAAGTTTCTCCAAAACTACCATTCCCAAAATGCTCTGAAAATACTTTCTCTGGTTTTTAGGATCTAGAGCAAGATAGAAGGAATAAAAAATATCTCCAATGTGATGATGAAAAAAGAGAGGCACCCCTCTCCTCACACGCCTCTGTCAAAGAAAAGACCAAGTAATGGAAGGGTCCTTGATGTCTGGAGGGACTCGTAGAGCAGAGCTCCTGGGATCACTGCCAGCAGTGAGGATGCTCCTTCCTGGCATTCGGCGTGAAAGCAGAGCGGGGCAGGCTCAACATTTCACTCTCTCCTTTCATAGTCTTCCCGTGGACAGACCAGGAGTGGAGAGGAGTCAACGGGTGAGGGTGAAGGTGAGGGTGGCAGTTCTGTAGCTTGGACAGAAAGGAAGAGAGAGGAGACAAAACATTCTGTCCTGCATTTACTAGAAAGTAGGATTTGTGGGCACACAGAGGAGTGACCCTAGAGGGTGCTGGCTCTGCTCAGTGGCTATGCCCATGCCAGAGTCCTAGGTCTTAGAACTCAGGCTGTCGGCACATGTGGCCTTTGGAAAATCACTCAGCACTCCAAGCCATATGCTACTGGCAATTCTGACTGGTTTCCTGCCATCTTTGTACATCCCCTAAGTCTGCCTTTGCTTCCTCAGGGCAAGGTCATCCCTGGTGTATAGGGGGCCAGCACAGCAATGAGTATAAAAGGGATGGCTGAGGTGCTGAGAGCTATGTAATGAAACTAACTGAGTCCACAGATAGGAGGTAATAACAGTAACGACAGTGGCCATGGCTCCCACTGCCCATGGAGCACCACACTTTTGCAACTGCAGGTAACTGAGGTAAATCTAAACTGGCCTCACCCACGAATCATAGGAGCTTGGAAATGGCTCCATTTTCTGCTGGATGTGGACTACAGAGACACCACGGCATTCACTTCTCTGACACACAATGAGTGCTCACACTCTGCATTTCTAAAATGTATTCAGGATGCTTTCAAATACTTCAGAGGGAAACCATGGGCCTGCGGGGTTTAGCAAAGGAGCCAGGCTGAATCCCTTAGCAGTCTGAGCCATATCCCTTCCCTCCCTGCAACAGGAGGGCTGGGATGGACCACAAAACAGAGGCAGCTGAGCCCCGGAGGAGCCATACAATAGGTTTCATTTCAGGGCTGCAATGCCAGCAGAGGGCCAGACTCCTTTCTTCATGGTCTGTGTTGTCTTTTTCTGAGCCAGCCCCGAGCACATCCTCCTCCAGAGCACAGACTAATGACCTCCTGGCATTAAAGGAGGAGGCTGGTTTGGAGAGTTCTGGTCATGCAGGCGCTTCCTTCCCTGCCCTGGAGGGTTTCTTTTAAAACTATTTAGAGGAAAATCTATATAGAATATGCTTACATATTTTTAAGTTAATTAAGCATCTCCTATTCAATTTGAACAAAAGATTAATGAATGAAGAATCCAAGGACTCCAGATGCAGTTAAAGGAAGACTGCTCAGTCTCCACTGTCTGGCTACAATTGAAAGCTGTGAATTGAAATCTTCCCTCTGTCCCCACCGAAGTACAGCTGAGAATTTTAAGTACATTTAAACTGTGAGCCATGCCTTACTCCAAACCTTCATGCTTCCAGGTTTTGAGATTACGAGCATGCTGTGGGGGACAGATCATTTCCTATTGCCTGCACCTGACAGAAATCTTACTAAAGCACGCTGGTTAATCCAAGGTCCACTTTATTTTTTTGAGCTGAATAATTTATCTTCAGAGATGACAGAGCAAACACCACCATCGGGTGAACACACACATGCTTCCAGGGCAGAGATATCAGGGGAAGGCCTGGACAGACTTCTTTTGTCCTGCTCTTTATTATCTGTGAGGGAGCACAGCGCTTTCTAAAACGCTTGTTCGTTTGTCACGTTCTTTGCCTTAATCTAGATACAGCAGATCTAAAGGAAAACTGAGACTGTACCAGGAGGAAGGTCACCCCCTCTTTGGAAGCATCTTCTCCCTTGGGGGTAGGGGGTTTGGGGCTAGGCGCCTAAGGGAGTGCCCTCCAGGAGTTTACACACTCACTTTCTTTTCGAAATCTAAAAAAAAGTGGAGAGAATTGTTTTGGGATGGATTGTACTCTGCAGGAGGGAGACCTCAGCCTGTGTACAAATGCAGCACTTCTGCCACACTCATTTTGCAGTGAATGTGCTTGAGTGCTAGGATCTGACCCATGCAGCTTGGAGGTTTCAAATTTGGGGAGCTCTGAAAACCCAGACATCTATTCTAACATGAAACCATGGCACCCTGTGCAATGAAACAGTTTAGGGAAATACGAGTTTTTCTGGGAGAGGGAGAAAGGGATTGCATGTTCAGTGTGTGGATATGTTTCCCTTTATAAATCTCTTTAATCTGATGAAATCAAGGCTGCTAAACTGCTAGAAAGGAGACAAATGAGAATTAAGCAGCAGTCTCGTTTGGGGTCCTGAAAATAAGTCTTTAAAGAAAATGTGCGCACCCCATCAATGGGGAAGGGGGTCGTACTGTGGCAGGTACACTCTTAGAAAATGATGCACTGTGACAGTCAAGTCATGTATGCACACCACCGACAGTGAAGGTCTGCCCTCCAATTCCATTGTCACCCCTAGATTTTAGCCCCCCTTGTCTGGATGTTAACCATAGGACAAAGGCCCAGGAAACTTCCTAAAGGAAATACAAGCTGTTCTCCTTTGCTTGAAATTTTTAGGAGGTGAGGAGAAAGGGTTAGAGTAGAAGATGAATAAAGAGAATATATTTTTTAAATACAAAAACCAAGTACTTAAAACAGTGGCCAGTCAAGAAGTGTGCCTTTCTTTCCTCATGAGTCACACGCTGAAACAACAGAGGGAATTCAGCCTGAGATATTTTTGCTTGAGCCTTGAAAGCAGGAGTTGTGGAAGGTCAATGGAAAAACAAGTGCTATCTGGTGAAGAGCCCCATCACCCATCCTGAGCATGGACCGCTTTGCCCTGAGACATCCCAAGACGATCCGGGCTAGCAGGGCTGTGCCAGGCTACACGCTTTACCACGAGGCATCAGTTTAAGCCAGTTGTGTGGCTGCACAAAGCAGGACTTGTTTGTCAAAAGAGACAGTCAGTTGAGAGTGGAATCAGCTCTTCTCTCTCACCTTCTTGGAGCCAGGGGCAGAAAGTGGAGTGGGGGAAGCTGCTAAAAGCATCAACACAGGATGTGAGCATACAGCTGGGATGACAAAGGCCCAGTGATTTTTTTCAAGGTCTCTGGAAACGCACCAAGGCATGAAAGTCAAGTATTCTCTTTGCAGGGCCAGCTTTTCTAGGGGGCCAAACACCTCTGGACTGGACTCCCTGCCCTAAGTAACCAGAAATAGCACTGACTCAATAACCGTCAGAGGTGCATGACTCCCATCTCAAGAAAGTACTTTATAACATAGCCTCAAGTGAGAAGGGTGGGTTTTCTCTTTGTTGTCATTCTCCAAAGGCTGCTTTCCTAGAAGCTCTGGCAGAGGCTTTAAAGCAGAGGACGTAAGGTCTGTTTGAGGCAGGAAGATTCCCCCTGCTAATGATGATGCAACAACGAAGAGAGGACAGAAATCCATCTTACCTTCCTGGTTACAGCTGGATCCAGATAGCCTTTGAGCTTTTGAATGTATGTGTGGGGAGGGTTCTTCACCTGGAATCGCTCCTGCAGGAAGCACAAATGTGAAGTAAGAAGTGTGAAAGTTATGAATCCTGGCACAGACAACCACGTCAAACAGATGGATGCTACTGATCTCTGACCTAAATGCATCCACACTGCAATGCGGTCTTGCAAACAATCCTTATTGACTCACTGAATCCTTCGAGAAGATGATGCGATCCTCTCTTTGCATAAGAGAAAAACAGAAGCTCAGAGAAACGCAGCACTACCCTTTGATGACACAAGCAAGTCAGGAGTTCAAGTGGATTTGAACCCACGTCTGTCTAACTCCAGAGTCTGTGCTGCGCTCTCTGTAGGGCCCTATAGCTCTGATTCTAGGAGTGATGCTTCGGCCAACCTGCTGCAGGCCCTCTTTCAGCATGTCTTCAATCTACTTCACATTCTTTTAAATATCTTTTTTAAAGTTGGCAAATCTTTTTCTTTTGGGTATTTATTAAATCTTTGGAAATAGCATAAGATTAGACTCAAACTGGATACAGTTCATTCATATTTAAAAATTAGTGATGAGCCAGGCAGTGGCATTGCAGTAAAACAATGCTCTGTGAGGCAATCCCACAGTGGAAGGTCTCTGGTTCAAGTCCAGAGACCTTCCTGAGTATGCAAGATGCACACCTGTCTGTGATTCAGGGCTGACTGCAGCTGGAAGTAGATCAGCATCGATATCTTGAGGCTGTCTGTCTTTACCACTTGTGGAAAAATAAATGAATAAATAAACGTTTTTAAAAAACGAGTAATAAGCTTATTGCTGAAAGACTGAAGTGAAGGGGTAAAGCTCAGAGAAACGCAGCACTACCCTTTGATGACACAAGCAAGTCAGGAGTTCAAGTGGATTTGAACCCACGTCTGTCTAACTCCAGAGTCTGTGCTGCGCTCTCTGTAGGGCCCTATAGCTCTGATTCTAGGAGTGATGCTTCGGCCAACCTGCTGCAGGCCCTCTTTCAGCATGTCTTCAATCTACTTCACATTCTTTTAAATATCTTTTTTAAAGTTGGCAAATCTTTTTCTTTTGGGTATTTATTAAATCTTTGGAAATAGCATAAGATTAGACTCAAACTGGATACAGTTCATTCATATTTAAAAATTAGTGATGAGCCAGGCAGTGGCATTGCAGTAAAACAATGCTCTGTGAGGCAATCCCACAGTGGAAGGTCTCTGGTTCAAGTCCAGAGACCTTCCTGAGTATGCAAGATGCACACCTGTCTGTGATTCAGGGCTGACTGCAGCTGGAAGTAGATCAGCATCGATATCTTGAGGCTGTCTGTCTTTACCACTTGTGGAAAAATAAATGAATAAATAAACGTTTTTAAAAAACGAGTAATAAGCTTATTGCTGAAAGACTGAAGTGAAGGGGTATGAGTATGTATTTGCACACACACACATGCATGTATGCTATCGTTAATGGGTTAGGCAGTTCCAAATTAGAATATCCAGAAATATTTTGAGCGAAGGCACAGTCACTGGAATAAACATAAATACACATAATATATATCCCAAGGTGATATCCGAATGCACGTCTGGAACGAGGCCTGAGAATCTGCATCTCTAACAAGTTTTATGCCAGTGTTGCCAACACATGGACCACACTTTGAGAACTTCATGCATATGATTATCAGCTTTTATAGACCTGAATATCCGAAAAAAGCAGACTACACAACAGTAAAAACCTGCGTAAAACTGAACATCCACAATGAGATGAGTAAGCACTACTGTTAAAGTCAGACAATGGTATACTACATTACAATGAAAATGAACAATGTACTGTGTGCTAATGAGAAATCTCATAAACCTGATGTTGTACCCCAAAGCATGCATGATGTCATTTACATGCAGTTACAAAATGGGTAAAACTGAATTTTAAAGATTAGTGATACACACTTAGGAAGTAAAATTAAGCAAGAAAGGTCTTCAAAAAGTTCACACAAAATGTGTATTGTGAAAAAAACATGCACGGAATTTACTTTCTTATAAAAATGAACCAACACTTTAATTCCATTCTTCCATGAGCTTTTTGAAATCCTCTTGTATATACATGTCATTTTACAGTGTGTGTGTTTGGGGGGGGGTATGTGTGTGTGTGGGGGGAGGGGGTATGTGCTTGTGTGTGCAGGAAAGGAAATATGAATGCTCCTGAGAGGCTGGGAATGGCTTTTTTTTTTTTTTTAGGGGGTTTTTTT